GTCAATCTTTTTTTTCATTTGTCGCTGTGCAAGTTTTTTTTTAATGGTGGGAATAAATGAATAAGAATTGTATAAAATCTTAGAGCTTTTTGTTTTAGATAAATCTATTTCTCACATTCATAATGTTTTTCGATAACAACAAAAGATTCTGAAAATTACCATAGTTAATTATCAGAGCAAGGTAAAGTAAAAGAGAAAATTTCTAAACATTCAATTATTTGGTTTCTTCACCATAGAGAAGTTGAGAGGGTATTAATAATTTAATGTAATATTTTCCTATTTTATGAACAATTATAAATCGATATGAGGAAATTCTGGATCTGTTTTGTTTGTAAAATCAGTTGTCTTATTTATTAGCTATTTTCAAAAGGATGTCGATATAGACTTATTTGTAATTGTTAATTCTCTCATTGTTCGATGCTCAATACATTAATAGTTTTTAATTAGTGAGAAAGGTTGCTTTATTATCTAACATAATATTTCCATAGTAAATTGATAAATAAATCCATCATTGAAAATTGTCAATTACATAGTACAGTTTTCAAGCTATTTATGTTAATGATATAAAACAATGTTTTACAATTTTTTTTGTGTGATTTTATGTTATCGTATGATATCTAACTATAATCGCTGCTTCTAGAAATGTAAGCCAATGCAATAATCGACAGTAACGGAAATTCGATGGTAGAAAATATGCTAATAAGAAGCTAGACAATAACATTCGTGAAAATTAATCTAAAATAAAGAAAATTTTCAAAAATCTAACACTTATTTTTATGTCATAGGGACAGTGACTCAGTCGATTGGCTTATATTTCTAATTACTTCGAACTTTTTTGGATTAAAATTGACACGATCATGATCATTCAATATAATAGTATCTTGATAAATATTCAAATCACTTTTATCTCCAAAAATAAAATACATCTTTTTCAATAAGACTTTATCTCAAAGAATTGTTTTTTTTTTGAAAATAAATTCTCATGATAATATTTTTCGAATATTAGTCATTGTTTGATTCGATCTGAATAATTAATGAAGAATTGTTCAATGTTCTAGTTCGAAAATATAACACTTACTAATTTGTTTATTCTAATTATATCATGGACATTTTCTCATCGGAACTTTTTACTTTCATAAAACTACTGTTTTCTTTTTCAGTAATAATTATCGAATGGTTGCTATTTTACTATTTGATATACCATATAAATGCTGTCATCATCAAACTACTTTATGTAATACAGATGTTGAAAAGAAAACTAATAGAAAAGATCACCTGCAGTAACAACATTATTCTTCTTACTATGCAAACAATGCCAGTACCAATAAGAGGAAAGAAATCAGTTTTTTGTTTTTCTTTTTTTTTTCTTCAATCATCAAATACATTTCATGACATTATATCGACACAATGAAACATAATTTACAATTGTATATTGTTGACAGATGCTTATCAATAATGATAACTTACAGTCAACTCGAATCAAATAACATATGTTTGTTGCTTCGTTCTATATACTGAAGACAAATTAGCAATTCATACTTTAAAATATAAAACTTGTCTAGTGAATAGATGTATGTTGAGACAATTTTTAATGAAATGAAAATATAATCAAGCACATAAAATTCAATGTTTTGTTTTATTTTGTTTTATTTTGTTTCTTCACTCTCTTTTTCATTACATCAGGGTTTTTTTCATTTTTCTTTAAAGACAATGTCGGAAACAAATCGTCCAACATCACGTTGGTCATCATCAATACCAACAAGAATCAAATCAAGTAATACAAACAACAATCAAACAATACCGTTAATAATATCACGAAGAAAATTACTTCGAACAGCAAAAAATCATCAGCAAACGTTTGCACAACGTATGGCAAAAGTACGACATGATACAGAAGAATTATTTCAATTATATTATTCAAATAATATTAAATTTGATACATTTCAACAACAAATTGTTACTGGTAACTATTAATTTCAAGTTTTTGTCTACAATCAACTTTTTTCTTTACATTATAGGAACACGTATTCGATGTGTACAAACACCATCACCTCTTCAAAATCATGCAATTGATAATACAATACATGCTTCTAATTCTAGACATTGTGTTAGTCGAGAACAAATGAGCCCATTAGAAATATGTAGTATGTATATGATAGACATAGTTTAATTTGTTTGTTTTTTTTTCAATAACTTTACATTTTCTATTAAGATTATGAAAATCAAATATCTAATAATGAATCAAAACAATCACCAGTAAAACGTACAGTTCAAGTTCGAATTGATAATAATCCAATGGTTTTACCATCAACTCCCACAGGATCGACTCGTTCATCTTCACCAACTTTTAGAATATCTGTTAGTTCGACTTCTAATTTAAATACATTGGTAAATTCTTCATTAATGCGACAAGATGAATTTAATGAATCATCAATAATTAAAAAAGGTGCCTCTCTTGGAGATATTTCAATTGATTCTTTTGAAAATAATAATACAAAAACAAATAAAGCAACCAATGATCAACGTTCACTATCAGCAAAATTATCATTAACCACTTTATCTACTCTTCCATCATCAACTTCGTCACTAATAAATAATCGAAAAGATCCAATAAACATATCTTATTCATCGTTTTCAACAATAAATTCAATACAACAACAAAATCCGCCACATGTTGTTACGGGTACAGCAGTTACGGCTCATCAACGATCCTCATCACGGCCTAAACCACGACCAAAATCAAGTATGACTATGTCAACAAATTCATTTCCCCAACAATCAAACATCAAGGCGAGGTTTGTTTGTTTTTGATTTGTTTTAATGTATCAACAGTAGGGACGAACGAATGTTTGAGTACACTTCTGTCAGTATATTTGACTAATTGTTTGTTGTTATAAAATATTCAAAAATAGATAGAATAGATCGCTTCGATGACATTTATCAGTTATAATATAAAATATTGGCACTGACACTAGGATTGAAAAACAATACTTTTCGTATGATTACATATACATTAACATCAGATATTATTCTGAACATGAAGAATGTCATAATAATCTTCTTCTATTCCTATAGATTCATGATGTTGAAATGAATCATTAAAGTACAATAGCTAGAATTTCAAATAAATATACGAATAGACACTTTTAAGATGCTATTTAGGTATAATTTTTTTGAGTATTTGATTATAAGCATTGTGTTTTCACTTAATCAAATGAAGTAAGTAATAGTATCGCGAAAGAGAAGACAAGTGCTCGAAGGTAGATCGTCGTTTTCTTTGAGTACATAATTTTACGTATTGTCTAGCTTATAAACAGTTCCTGTATGAGTAAACTAAAAGATCCTACTAAGAACCATGACGCTATAGATAGCAAGGTTTACTATCGCCTCCATTTTACGAATTTTTTTAACAAATTAGATAGATAAACATGACAAAGTTTTCATCTTTGTATTAAAATACGATCCTAACTTAGCGAAACAAGACCAGACTCGACTGTAGCCATGCCTTAGAGCCGTCATTCAAGTGAGACAATCGATGAAAATATATTGAGGTGTCGAAGACCGTCTGACTTCATATTACAGCTCCGAGTAGAATCCACTGAGACTAAAGCAAATATAAAAAGCCCGATTCACTGCATAAACGTGAAGAGTTACGATGGTTGTAACCTAATTTTTACTAAGAATAAGATACTTCTGAAAAAATCTAAAACAAAGAGTTTTGACATACTAATTTTGTTTGTAGGTAGATTTATGATCCTTTTGGAAATGGAATTGAAAAAAACATCGTTGTTTTTGTTGAAAATTTCAAGGTTATCAAGTTTGTATACAGACAACACTTCAAATCAAAAATCATTGTTTTGGAGTTTTTTGGAAAGGAATTATTCTTAGTTAAAACTTCATTGAAATAGTCATAGCTTCTCATCAATCGACCATGAGCTCACATTTCTTTATAGTTCTCCGAATCTCGTTGTGATCTATTCATAGCAATAATGTGAACAGTTAGACGGTTCGTCGCCCATAATCACCAGAATTAAGAGATTTATTTTAAAATATCGTGCTTAGAGTTCATGAGACTCGAAATACTGGCATTACCGTCAAGAAAACGTGTTTTTGTCAATAGCATTAATTTTTTTTAAAAGCTTTCGCATGAAGTCGGAACAACATACTAAAGAAAAAACGGCACATATCTCACTTTGACAAATTAGCTTTATGAAAAGCGCAAAAGAAACTTTTCTGTGTGTATCAGATACTTTTCTCTTCAACTAAGGTAATTGAAAATTGACCGTGTTCAGCCATGTTCGAGATACATGATCTCGTCACCTTTAGAAATTATCATTACGACAATTATGGCAATAATTACACCACAAGTTTCTCTGTTAAAGATTTCGAGAGTTCAATTTAATAAAAGTCTTAACTGACAACGAAGAGCTCTCCTTTAGGTAGCATTTAACAGAGTACATCTCAAAGCAATACCAAAAATCAAAAAACGTTTTGATTTTAACATTCAGAAAGAGGAGTCTTTTTTGGAATATCTTCATTAAAACATTGCATAATATGGATCAACGTTTAAAACTACTCAATCCTTTATAGTCCATTATCATCTCAATCTACTATGTCTGACTTTCCTGCATTTATTGGTTCACAACGTGTCGTATCGATCCCATCGAAATCCAGGTACAAGAATATTGTTTTTTTGTTTCATAAGAAGAAATTGCATATACATTTTTTTTAATTAGTCGTTATGTTCTTGTTACATTTCCGCAAGCTCCTGTACGTTATCATGCTCCAACACATGTTGAACGTTTATTATTACCGGAACGTTTTCCAACATTATTTCACAATATAGTACATAGTTATGAACATAATCGAAATAATAAATAATTAAGTTTTGTTTCTTTGTCACATAGTATTTTTTTTTTCAAAATAAACTTTAAAAAACAAATTTAATTACAGAAAAAACAATACCGGGTAAAAACCTGAGCAAATATTTCTCTTTGTTTTCAAATCGGTTCATTTAAGTTCCATGAAAATGTACTTTTAAAACGATCGAAAAAGCCAACTTTTGGAGCTTCAGTAGAAGGAGCCGGTGGTTGTTCGATTGGTTTTTCTGTTGCCGTTTCATTATCGTTCACGTTTGTTGATGTTTGCTGAAAAAGAATAAAATAAAATAAAATAAAAAGATACTTCAATTCGAAATAATAAGCAACAGTAAAAAAGAAAACAACACATTTCAGCAACAATAAAATTCTTACCGACGAAAAGATGCTCTCTATAAAATAATATAACCCATCACCTGTGATTTTTTTTTCTATTCATATTAAAGCAAAACTTTAACTTACTTGTTTTTCATTCGCTTCAATAGGTTTTTCTATTGCATTTTCATCAGATATTTCTTTAAGATAATTTGATGGTACAAGACCTTTTTTTCCATTTTCTAATTCACCCGAATAAAATCCATCATCATGAATATTTCCATGTATATATATAACATCACCAGAATGAAACGATAATTCATCATTAGAATTTATATTTGGTGAATATTCACTTGGATTATAATCAAATAAGGCAACCATTTTTTTAATTGGTTTTGGACTTTTTGGTGCTGATAGAGATGATGTTCGTTTTTTGGATGATACTTAAAAACAATTTAAAAAAAAGAAAGTTGTTAGCAGAATTCTTGTAGGATTAAAGTGTGAGACAAACTGTAGCTACTACCTATATCTTCACCCTCCGAGATCGATTTGGTATAAAAATAATGCGAAGCACTGTTGCATTAGTATTGTTGTCTGTATGTATTAGATCACTCTATATACTCTAATAGAGAATTTGTAAATTTAAGCATCCTTCAATGATCAAGTTTCTATCACTGGAAGACTAATCTTCGTTCAATATTCAAGAATGCATAAAGATAATTTATGATGACTGACACTTCATCTCACGCTACAGTTTTTGAATGGAATTGTAGTTTTGAAGATGGACAATTAAATATTGATGATAATCTTTGATGTGAACAATACGAATACTAAAACAGTTAGAAACTTAGTCATTGAAAAGATTCACAAAGTAATTCAGTAAATAGTGCATATTTTGAACATTTCAAACGCATGGTACATAGTATTTTACATGAGCAGTTGCATATGAATAAAATCTCTTCAACATGAATGTCACAATCGATAGCATCTGAAAAATTATGCATCATTTATACATCAATGCTGACTTGTTCATCTTTAAAACGATGAGCATGTTCAAAAACCATAATAAGTTATAGAGCACTATGAATATAAGCTCTAGTGTATATGATGAGAATATAAAACATATTCCTATGGTTGGACATAAATGCTTAATCGATCCGTGCTCATGACGTCTTTAGATCAATGACTGTATGAACTACACACAGATAACAATACTAATGCAGCAGTGCTTGTTTCTGCTTTTAAATAAAATCAGACTCCGAACTGTTTGAACAGGTCTTCTATTATAACGCGACATTCATTGTTGACATACGTTTCTGATCGCATATCAACAACGTCTGCCACAATCTGTAGAGAGTTCAAATCTTTACTTATATACTTCAACATTCTTTTTAGATCATGTTTCACAAGAACAGTTTTAAATCATACCGGCAGTTATTGTTGATTCATTTTCAGAATCCGTAACTTCTACTTCTGAGACCATATTACTAGGGACATAACCAGTATGTCCATTTTCTGTTTGGCCAATATAAAAACCATCAGCATCTTGATCACCAAAGATCTAAATTAAAGTAAATAGATGTTTTATCAAAGATTATTCTCTATCAAATGACAAGAGTATGCATGAGTGAAATACAATAGAAATTTTGAGGCAGTTCAGTTAATCATATCATACTGATAAAATAAGTTTCATAAGTCCAAATCTTATCGTTTAGACGATTTCCAGAGACCGAAATGCATAATTGGGCATTCCAGGATGCTAGTGATTTTTAAATATACTTCAAGTTACAATGCTTGAACTATTCTCATTTAAAAAGAAATTCATTATCGATTCGACTGACGAAAAGAATATTTTTAATTTGTATTTTATTCCATGTTAAGGATACTAAAAACTCCCACAAAATTAGCTAAAAATACGTAAAAAATTCACAGCTGTTTTTTGATAGTGAATGTTAAATACAAAATTCCTTTTCCTCAGTCGAAGAAGGGTGAATTAATCTATTGAACGGGGAAAAACCTCAGTACACTCAAACGAACAATATCGGAAAAAATTTTATTAAGATTTTGCGAGCTTTGAGAAAAATGCATGAACAATTACGTGTATCTTCATCTAAAGAATTTTTTGACACTAGCATCAAATATGATAAACTTTGACTTTGGCATCTGGTTTTCTAGTTAGAAATTAAGTTCTTTATTTAGATACCAGTCTTTTCGATAAAAAACTCTAAAAGGTTATTATGAATTCTAGAGAAACCTTTTATAGTCGGAAGTCATTTTTATGGATCTTAACACTTAGCAGCATATAGTTTATGCTTAGATATTTATCTGAAAAAGTATGCTTCTTTAGAAAAAAAATCAATTTTTAGGAAGAGGAGGCAAGAACATAACGAAAATATTTTTGAAACATCTTTTATAAATTTTGATTTTAGGTAAGAATTAACAAATGAATAACAATTATTTTGTTACAAAACTCAAATAGGTTTCAGTTCTATTGTCTAGATTTCTAAGTTCAAAATTAAATACTAATCGATTTTGTAAAAAAGAAAAGATCAGATTTTGTTCTATGCATTTTACAATATATCATCAAACCTTGATAATTTGTCCTTGTTTGAATGGTAATTCTTCATCACTATTTTGATTTGGTGACATTGCTGGTGGATCATAATCAAATAAAGCAATAAATAATCGTGGTGAAGTATTAGTTTTATCAAGTAAATGATTATTTATTCTTGTTGATCTTTGTAATCGTCCATTTTTATTTGGTGTTGTTGGAGTTGAACGTTGTTCGCCAGATAATGTGGATTTATTTACATCAAAATTTTCATTGATTGTTGTTCGAATTCGATTTGAATCCGAAATATCATGTGGTTTAAATGTGAATTTATTATTTGATGTTGTTTTAGAAGTATTTGAATTTAATTCAATTTGTGGTATATCTGTACTTATTGATGATGTTGTTGAAGGAGATTCTAATGATGATCGAGTTAAGAATTTACTTATTTCTTTTCCATTTACTGTTGGTTTTAATAAAGGAGATGCAATAATAGGTATGGGTGGTTCTGATGATATTGTTGATAATGGATGAGAAGTCTAAAAGAATTTCAACGATAAGATCTGTTGTTTATCGAGAGAATATCAATTATATATATATATATTAAAAAAGGCAAAGGATAATATGAAGAAATCTTTTGATGAATTTTAAGAGAGAATAGATTCATATCCAAGTGAGGGAAAGTTTCATTTGATTTTTTTTCTTACTTGATCTCCCTCAAATATTAATCTTGGTTTAGTTACAATTCAATTGCATGAAATTCTCAGTCTTAGATCATGATGTTTTCTAGAGATGTACAGCTAACTAGAGTTAAAAATAGTCTATTTGGCATTCCAAAATTCTCTTTGAGCCTTCATTCTGTAGATTTGATTATTTTTTTCATTTTAACGAACATGGTAGAATGCAGGCCACAACAGAACTCTTGATTTTAAATTCATACTTTTTCTAAAGGGAAAAAGTCATTCACTACAATCAAGTTCCTGTGAAACTTTTGATATGCACGATCAAAAAGAAAAGTAAACAGAGAAAAAGCGAAAAAAATTTCCATACATTTATCTCAATTATCATGTTCTCCGCGAAAATAAAATAAAAAAATCAAATTGATTTTCTTGTTTTTACTTTTTTTAAAATATCATCAATATCAATGGGCATTGAATCATGTGATTCACCACCATTGTCAGTCAAAGTTCGAATAGTTAAAAATCGTCCATGATGTAATATATTCAAATTTATTACTGTATGATCATCTAATATGTAAAAATCAATTAATAAAAAAAAAAGAAAGTAGATATTATTAAATCCTACTTGATGGATTTGTGATATCTAATATTTGACGTCCATCAATAAGTATTCGATAACCACGAATTGCACTTATTGTGGATAATGGTTCCCATGAAACATGTACTGTATTTGATTGTGTATCAGCAGTAGCTTGCACTCGTCTAGGTGGTTCAATTGATTCGTCTAGAAAAAAAAATTATATCAATAAAAATACAAGACTACGAAGAAAGAATTGTATATTCAAATCTATATTGAAGCAAGCGAAATTTCTTTTTCAAGAGTTTATAAATTTCTATAAAATTTAAGCCTTACATTTCGATCGTGTATAATACATGTTCATTGAATCTGAAGAAATGATATACAGAGTTTATAGATCGATTCAGAATACAAAAAAAAAAAAAGAAAATAAGGTCCAAATGCGGCTAATTTAATCAACTGTATTTTATAGACTTTGTATCTGTAGACAATACTCTGATTATGACTTTATATAGGTTCGCTAGATTTTGCTGATGATACTGTTTTGCTAGACTTCTACCATAAAATGAGATATTGGATGAAAAATTCATTCAAGGATTTTCCACTTGAAATTTTGTCTATAAAAAAAAATTTATTATCAAACATATTTCCAATTGAAGTTTTACAATATAAAATACTTTGTTCAATTTTCCTGCCAATATCTCATTCTAGTTTAGATATCATCACTATATGCGTAAAAAGATAAATTCAACGGTAATAAAGCATTTCAAATAGCTTTCTGGCCGATGTATTATATGATATTCAAAAAAAATAGGATGTGGTGAAACGTAATATTATTCTTACGATAAAGGATCTCTTACAAAGCAAACTCTAATGAGTTATAAATATTCTAAAAAGATTTTAGACTCTTAGCATATTATTACGGAATTTCAATTCGAAATTTTATACGGAGACAGGCGTTTGTGAGAACAGATTATTATAAAAATTTTCAAAGTTTTTCATTGTTCCTATCCTGAAATCGGGACATTGAATGCGCGTGTATATGATCCATGTAAAATATACTCTTTTACTGTAGTCGTATCCTTAGGATAAGAAACTTTCAAAATAAACCATTCTCACTAAGATCTGTCTCTGTGCAAAATTTCGATTGAAAGTTCGAAAACAATCTTTGATAGTGTTCCTGAGAAGGAGGACGGCATTATATTAAAAAAAACTGTAGTAATGCAATATCATCACAGGAATAAGTTAAGAGACTTCTTTCTTTATGCAAATTCATTCATATATACCAAATGAAGTTGTTCGAAATTCAATGGAAGCTATTAATTGTTGTTGTATACTAGTTGCTATTGATGGTTTTGCTTTAATTGTTACTTTATGAATTGTATTTGGTGATAAATTTGTTAATTTAAATCGATAAATTCCTGGTTTAATTGTTTGTACTTCTTTATCATTAACAAATAATTTATGAATAATATCATTTGATGCTGGCCACCATGAAACAACAGCTGATGTTTGATTTATTCGATCAATACGTAAATCTTTTGGAGTATAAGATAAATCTTTTGAATTTGTTAATAATAATGTACATTGTTGATCACGTGATAAACCAAGTTGTGTCATTGTTCGAATACTAATTCGATGATATTTTTCATTGAAATTTATATTTTCAATTAAAACTCGTGTACGTTCATTACTATGAATAGTTGTATAAAGTTTATGATCAAGCATAATTTGATAACCAAAAATTTGTACATTAGATAAAGGAGGATCCCAAGCAATTAAAACACTATTATTAAGAAATTTTTCAATGTGAAGATTAATTGGATGTGGAACTAGAAAAAATCAATAAATTAGAATAAGTACAAAATTTTATTATACTATTTTTTCCATAGGAAAGATCACTAATTGTCATATCCGATGAATTACTATTTGCTAAATAAATACAAACAATAAAATAAATAATTATTATTGATAGAAAGGTTTTCTTTTTACTTGGCGTTCGGACTGTTGGATTAAGAATGGAAGAATTCATATTAAATGAATCCGAATCTGAACTAAACATTTGATCACGATGATGTGAAGTTCGTTCATCAATAGGAAATATATTTCCGATTAATTTTTGGATATTATGTTTTGAATTTTCAGGTATATCATTTGGATATTTTACTAGTTCAATAAAATTTGATGGTATCAAACCATATCGACCTTCTAAATTTCTACCATCATAAAAACCGTCCTTAAATAAAAAAAAAAAAAGAAAGAAAAACAATTTTTTTTTCGGTAAGTTTTTTTTTTAAATTTTTACTTCATCAATATTCCCATAGATAATATAATATTCTCCTAATTTAAGTGGCAATTCAATTTCTGGATGATCATTTGGAGAAAATCTTAATGGTTCATATGAATATTTTGCTACAACAATTCGAGCTAATTTATCATTTGAATTTGTTAATCGTTGACGAGAATGAATTGGTGCACTATCATCTCTTGTTGATGTTTGAGAATCAACCATAGTTGATAATGGACTCTGATGATTATTAATCAATGAACTATTTTCAGTTGATGAAGGTAATACACGATGTTGTTTTTGTTGCGTTTTTAATGATTCTAACTGAAGAAGAATTTCTTCATATTTTAAACTTTGTGATTCAGTTTTACGTTCGAGATCATGAATTTTTTCCTGAAAAAAGAAAACAAACTTAATGATAGTACAGCCGACAAATAGACTCTAGGGACATACGAATTTCTAGATGATATTTTTTCCGTCCTACGGATGCACATTCTGTGGATATTCTTTTCTCAGCCATAATCAATTTTTCTTACGACATCCAAAGCTTTAGTCAAAACTCTTAAAATACAGAACAAAATTTTCTCAATTGATCATCAACTCACAATGTTTAGTTCTCTTCGGCTGATTCCAACTGACTTTGAGATCTTCGTTTTGCATTAGACAAAACTTAAAAATGGATTCTGTGAAAGTATTCAAAATTATCAGGACTGGCATAAAGAATCTTCAAGAAGCTCTCACCCTCGAAAAGAAAGCAGAGGATTTAGGGGAGGGCCCTGGATACAATCGTACTTCCTTTTTGGAATATTTTTCGATTTTTCTCAGAAGAAAACGTCCAAAAATGAATTGATAGGACTTCTAATGCACTTTGAAACAAATTGTGTGACCTTGATCACTTCTCGCTTTCCTAAATTCGCCATTGTAGCCAAATACCGGCATTTATCCTATTCTAGAAGCTGTTGAATTAATCGACTTTAACTAGATACAAAGTTTTTTTCTTCTTGTAAATAGTTTCTATATAGAAGCTATACCCAAAGCTAGCAGTGATTAGTAAGCCCATGGTTATGAATAATGGAATTAATTTAGTAATGGGTTATTTCAAAAGCATACCCACACCTTTTTTTCCAGCAGAATTCAACCGTTCGTAGGTGGGAAAAGGAAAAGTCTAAGACATCCTTAGTTACTATCCGATTATATCATTAATGTTGAAAAAAATATTATTTAATCAATGAACTGAATGGATTAGGCACGAGATAATTAGAAATATCCGAAACTGAGAGCCATTGGTGACAAACTCTAAAAAAAATTATATCACGATGTATCCGCAAGTAATTTAATATACGGTTGAATAAAAATAGAAATAAATGTTCTGTATATTATTGTGATTATACTAGAATAATTAACTTTTATGTATTGGAAAAAAAAACTCAGATTGTTAGTTCAATATTCCTCTTGAATAAATTCATAACAGACTGATATTTTAGAAGAATAAGATATAAAACTATTCTTGCCATATGTGTATTTTATACATTTAAAACAGTCCATTTAATTAAAAACATATTCCTATCCTATCTTTAGATTGTGTTTCAAAAGTCTACTCTCAAGTTTGTATAAGTCAAAATATAACTATTTCCGTTATTTTAAAATAACATATGGATGATTTTACTTAGACATGCATATAGCCATTCTTAATAATATTGTATCACCATAGGAGTTGCGTCAGTTTTTGACAGTCTACAAGATAATTGATCTGCTTGTTATAATGAACTCTTTCAAAAAAAAAGAAAAGAAAAAGTGTATTTGTTTTTTCCTCAGAATATATATTTTAATTCATTCTTTTTTTTTTCTCATAAATTATTAGTTTGTCCAAAAGTTGTACGGAATAAATCTTAACATGGAAACTTAAATCGTTTTAATAAACAGAAACTTTACTATCTAACTTATTTTAAATAATCAGTCTGTATGAACACAGTTTATTAGCATTTTATATAACAAAGCTTGTTCGAAATAAACGATATGTGACAATATTCTTCATATTAGATATGAACACATCCACGAATTTACTTCACTCTAATCTGATTAGTCTTGTTTTAAAGCGACATGGCCTATATATCAGATACATCTTAATGTTAATGCTATTAAAACGAAATAATTTTTTTAATATACTAAAAGTGATTTTGGCTTAGTGTTTTTCCTAAAAAGAAAAAGTTCCATACTTGAAGTACATGAATTGTCGCTTGATGTTCTCGTTTTGTTGTATCATGCATCTTTAAAAATAGAAGAAAAAAAAACTTTCAATTAAAAATAATTATTATTGAACAAACTTTTTGAAATTGTTCAAAATCATCTTGTTTTTTCTTTAATTCTTGTTTATTTACTTCATTTTCATCATCTAATCGTTTTTGTAAATCATTTGCATCTTGTAATGATTTAATTATTGATTCAAGATCAACATTTTTAGCTTTTAATTGTTCATTTTCACGCTGTTTTAAATCAAATTCATCTGATTTAGCTACTAAAGCACGTCGTAATGTCTCACATTCTTCTATTAACTATTCAATTCGAAAGAAAATATAGTTATTTTAATCTCATATATTTATCATCACTGACTCGTTCATTGGTTTTTGTTGCATTTGTAATTTCATTACGAAGTTGTATATTTAATACCGAAGAAGTCTCACATTCTTTGATCTAAAGGTTAGAAAAGGAAAGAAAATTGGTCGACTTGTTTTGGACTTATAGGAAAGTATGAGAATTCTGTTTTGAATTTTCTGTAAGATGATTCTTTTCTTTTGAAACAATGACTTACGCTAAGTTGAAGTTCTTTTTGTAAATGTTCAATTTTCACTTGTAAATCTTGTTGATAATTTTGTGTTGATTTCAATGTTACAAGATCATTTTCTAATAGATCAATTTTTTCTTTTTGTTTATTATATTCTTCTAAATATTTACGATTCATTTCATCTTCTATATGTAATAATTTTTCTTTTAATTGTTCATTTTCATGTAAACAAGAATCATAAGATGATTTGTTTTGTTTATAAACTTTTTCTATTTCTAATAATCGATTATATTTTATTTCAAGTTGTTTATATGCTTGTTGAAGTTCATCATATTGTTGAAGCTATAAGATAAAAATAGTCTTTTTTTAGTAGATGAAAAAGAAAAAATGTCTTATTCTATATTGTTCACTAATGAATAGGTAATAGGAAAAAAAAAAGAAGAAGAAGAAGAAAAGACCTGTAATTTTAGCTTAGCCGTATTGTCTTCATTAGAATGTGTCAAACGGTGTATTTCAGTTTTTAATCCTTCATTCATTTTTTGTAATGCTTGATAATTAATTGGGTCATCAAAAAATACTGATGATGTATTAGATCCTGGAGAATGTGATAGTTCTTCATTTGTACTTGTCGATGTAGTTGTTGTTGGCTATGAGAGGAAAGGATTGTGTTTGATGATGGAAAACAAAATTAACAAAAAAACAAAAAGATTAACAAAAAAAAGAAAACCTGTGATAATGTTTGTTGTAAATTACGTTTCGATGTTCGAACATCACGAATAAAACCAGTAAAACGTAATGATGATGGATTTGACATACTTAGTTCTTATGTATTTTTTTTTTCTAGTCTGACAAATAAGTTATACGTTAATAACTAATAGTATGATCTATGGTAGAAGAGTTTTCTAGGCTTATATTTTTTTTTCTTGTTCTAATTGAGCAATAGAAAATGAAGAGATGAAATGACGAATAGGATTTTTTTCTCTCCCTTCGCTGAAGATATTCTATATACGTGAAAATCTTCTTTTCTTTTTTTTTTTTTTTTATTAAAACGGAAATAAATCGAACAAAACTAAGACTTAAAGATATGTTTGCATGCTTGAAAAATAGTTTCCGTTAGACTAAAATAACTTACACCGGCATTAGTTGTTGTCGTAGAATTTAATGATGACATTGATGATAAAAGACGCTTTTCAAGATGTAATTTTTCAATATTTGATTGACGTAATGCTGATTCAAGAAGACTTGACTAAATAAATCATTGCTATTTAAATCTATTCTACTTTAACATATTTACTTTGGAAAGTTGTTTAACGTGTTCATTTAATTGTTCAATTTTTTGATCTTTTTGTGTTAATAATTTATTATATTCACTTGATTGTTTGGATAAAGCTCGTTTAATCAATTCTTTATCATGATCTTTCTAAAACAAAACATATATATAATAATTAAGAAATTTTAATGAATCAGTTTTCGTTTGTGTACCGGTTGATTATGTTTCAGTACTTCTAATTGTTTTTCAAATTTTTTAATACGATCATTCAATTCAATATTTTGTCTTTGTAATCCTCGTTCTTGTTCATCGTACAATGGACGATTCTAATTTTATAAGACAAAACAAAAAGAATATTAAACAAAGATATATCCAACCTAAATTAATAAAAGAAATAAAAAATCTCGTACAGCTTTCGATTCTTCATTATCCCACAATTCATCAATGATAGTCACTTGACGCGTACTCGTATTCATTGAGCAAAAAAAAGAAGAAATGAATGAAATAAAAAAAAAAAAGAAAAAATAGAATATTGGCGATGACCAGCTGGTGCCACATAAATACAAAAGACTAAAACGCTGCCTATTACTATGATTGTACAACGTATCGTTAGTAAGACATGTTTTTTATTCTTTATGAACTAATTTATGTTGGTTTTTCTTTATTTCAAAATATCTTTTTTCGGCTAGGGAGAAAGACAGATAGAACATTGTAATTACCCTATAAGATCAAAGGATAGACACAGGTTAGGATGTTCCATAGGACAAAGGTACATGAAAAAAGAAAAAAAAAACAACAATAGAAAGCGAAAAATGTGTTGTCGGAGAACGGTTCTTATTTTGTGGCGTCTTTTAAATAAGCAATTAAATCACGTCGTTCATCTTCTTTCTTCAATCCAGCAAAGATCATTTTGGTACCGGGAATGTATTTCTTTGGATCTTTTAAATAAATCCAAAGTGTATCTTCACCCCAAGTGATTCCTTTGTTTTTGTTAGCATCACTATAGTTAAATCCTGGAGCTTGACCAGTTTGTCGACCGAATAAACCATTAAGATTAGGTCCTTGTTTATTACCAGCTCCTTTCTCAACGACATGGCATTGTGCGCATTTAGTTTTGAAAACTTTTGCACCCTTTTCTACATCACCACCTTCCCATTCGTTACCCATTTTATTTTTTTGAAAAAAAGAAACGGCGAATTTAGTAGAACGTTAACGTATGAATGTACTTAGATATTCGATTCAAGAATGGACGAGACGTAAAAAAAAATAGTGATGAAATAGGGGGGAGGTTAGTAAACAAATAACAAGTAATGGCGTCGAATCAAGAACCACTCTTAAAACGAATCAGTTACGAAGCAGTAGCAATAGAGGACTTTACAAGGCAACTTGCATGTGTAATGGCGGAGAAATAATCGAGAACGCAACACAAGAAAAGAAAGAAAAAAAATTGATTATTCAACTTACTGTTGAAGTAACAAGATCAGGATCATTGCTTCGTAAAATTTGTATTGGTTGAGTCTTTATATTTATTTTTTCATTATCATTTACATTATTTAATGCAGTATTTTTTAATTGTTCAATATCATAAGATAGTTCAGTAATACGTTGATCACGCATAAGCAATTGTCGTTGTAAATAACATACGACATCTTTTTGATCTTGTTTACAAAATGTATTTAATTCATATTCAAATTGTAAACGAAGTTTTGTAATTTTAGCTGATTTATCAAGATCAGATTTACATTTTACCTAAAATAAAATTTACTTGAATCATCGTATTTATTAAAAATAAATAAAACTACACTCTTCATTCAAGTTTTCTAGGCTGTTCATATGAGTGATGTATAAACAGTTGGTTGAAGTAGCAAAAAGAAACAAAAAACATACTCAACCAAGAGTCACATTATGTGTATCGAAAAAATAATAATAAAGCTTACTTTATAGAGTGTTGCTAACTGATTTTTAGCTTGTTTAACTGTTGCTAAATCACGTTTAAGTTTATCAACAAGAGATATCAATGATAAACTTGATTCATCATGTTGAATATGATTTATATCATCATTAATACCGATATTACTTTTATAAGATGAACTTATTGATGGTGGATCTGTTTCACATGTTGATCCTGATGATGACGTTGTTGATGGTGTAAATAAATTAATTGGTTCGGAATGAGTTGGATGAGAATTATAAACAGTTTTGGTAAGATTTGTTGTTTTTATCATTGGATTAATGTCAAATTATTATGATCTTATTCATTATTACACATTATGTGTTAACTATATATCAGAATAAAAAGAAAAAAGAAATACATCGTCTGTCAATAAATTCAATCATATATGCTTTTTTTTTTTCTGTTAATTCAAAAAAGAAAAGAATGAATAAGACAAAGGACAACATGCGAAAAAAATTGATCAGAACGGATGTCAATAAAGGGGAAAGAAATACGTAGATGTATATGAAAAAAAAAATCGATTCACCAGTTGCATATGTCTGCATAAATGAATAATGACATAAAACACATCATAATTTTTATATATCCCTATCTTGATGAGAACATTAATAAACAAACAATGGTCTTTGACAAGTGCAGTTTAGAATATCCAAAATGAAAATACACAAACAAATGATTGACATATACAAGGATTCGAACAATTTAATTGAAGAACATGAAGCCATGTTTCATGAACAATTTCAATTTTAATGTAAAAAAAAAAAGGGGGGGGGAACGATGAAAGGTCGTGACCTTGAGTAAAATCTCGTATCTCCTTTCTCATATTCGATACTCTGAAACAAGTTGTATTGATCATTTGTAAAGTTAAAAAACTAATAAAACAAAAAAAAAAAAAAAAGAAGGCCATATATGTATTGAACTTCAAGTATCATTAAAAAAAAAGTGATATGACACACTTGAAAAATAATGCTTTCTTACATAATTAAAATCAACCAAATTTCATAAAAATATTTTGTTTCAATTAATTTCTATAACTATTTTTTTAATAGAATTATTTCTTTTCTTCTTTGGTGTTCCAACATTGTTATAATAACAATTTTAAAATAATAATTTGTTCAAAATTTAACGAATTATAATTAAATAAAATATCTCATTATACCACGAAAATACTTATTTATTCATATGAAGGAAAAAAAAAAAGAATAAACTTTTTAGATCGTCGAAAACAACAAATTTATTGTGTATGAATTGTATTAGCGCTACAATCGATTCATTAGCAAGGATTGGTGTTATAATCAACGTTGAATAATATTTATTTATTTCAAAATTCAAAGACAACATCATGGCAAAGTTAATTCGAACAATCAAACAAATATTTAATTCAAATAGTCGTGAATCACTAGTTAAATTAGTCGGTACTGATCGATTTCAAAATAAATTCTATGAACGTCTACCCGGTAGAATTTATTGACTTCATTAAAATTTAATTATTATATATTTATTGTTCAAAAGGTAATCGACATTATAATTCATCTCGTCGATTTTATGAACCTGCAAATTATTCAGATATTCAACTACATATTGATCCAGCTTGGGAAGGTATAATAAGAACAAATAAATAAATATCAATATTTATTTATTATATTATTTAGCATGGTTAAGAGGTACTCGGAAAGATCCTCCAACACTCAATGAAACAATTATACATGAAAATAGACGGCAACAATTATCAGAAAAAGTAGATTGAATTTTATTTTGTTTATAACCTTGAATTTTTTTTTTGCGAATATTATTTATAGTCAATCGATATGTTGGGCACAAGTTATGGACGTGATTCAGCACAAGGTGGAATCGGTAAGTATTCAAATTCATCTTTAATTAATATAACTAGATTTTTTTATTTGAAGGTTCATTTCCAATACGAGATGATTATGAAATAAATCCAGGTACTAAATCAAGAGAAAAACAAGATCCTAATGAAACACATTAATATATAATAAACTTCTTTTTTTTTTTTTCTTACATTTTTGTAATTTCAATAGATCTAGATCTTGTTTTAGTTTTAGATGAATGAAGAAATAATTAAACATGATGATAATTCTACATCAAATTTTTTAACACGTACAACTATACGAGAAGCAAATCATCATTTACAAATGTTACATAAACATAATCAAGAATTAGAACAATTAGTTAATAAACAAAAAGAAGAATTAAAACAAAAAGATTTAATTTATATGGATTTATTTAAAGCAAATCAATTATTAGAAAAACATTGTCAACAATTACAAATAATACTTGATGATCGAACTCGACGTTTACAAATTTATGAAAGAAAAGATAGATTATTTCGAGAAACACTTGAATTAAAACCAGCTATTGAATCATTATTAGATGTATTAAATACATTCGAAAAAGAAGATACTATTTTATCATCAATTTCAATTCAAACTCTACCAACATTAAATCAAAAGAAAAATATGAATATTGTCCATAAGACAGATGCTGTTTAAATTTAATATATGAATAGTATGTATATATATATATACCATTTTTCACCGTCAGATTGTAGAATAATATCAAATCTTTTTTTATGTTTTTGTTTTATGTATTAATATTTTGTACAATAATAAATAATCCATTTGTACTTATAGGAATACTACCTGATATTTTAAAAGATAAAATATTGTTAGCGCAATCCTTATGAGATTAAAATGTGAAACTCGATATAGTCGCTTTTGTCAATCACAGAGAGATTGTTTTATTCTATATCGTTTGAGATACATTTCTTTCACTTAATCCTCCACAAATGCAATAAGAATGTAGCTCAGATCATATAACGAGACGCTATCAGTATACAGTTTTTGATCGTATATCAATAACGTCTGTCATAATTTGTGTGGGGAAGGCTGTTCACATTTTTATCCTTAGACTTCAACATTTCTTTCAGATCGTGTTTCACAATAAGACATGAAAAAAATTTCAATTACGAAACCTTCGACGAACACTTGGTTGTAAGATTTAGTTGTAGAAAAAAAAGCAGAATTCTCTTTTTGGTTTTTAACTAATTCGAGAAACAATCCGATCAGAGTGTTCTTTTTTTTTTCATGATTAACAGCTATTTTTACTATTCGCTGAATAGTTTCTTGTCGTTGCGGCACTAAAACAGGAAAGAAACGTATAGAGCATTGTATACATATTAGAAAAATTCATAACTTTCATCGAAAGACTTCTGTCTGCATACATGCAATGCGTCAGTTCTTATTCGATTAGTTTAATACAATATAAGTATCAGCTATGACCTATATTAATAATCTTTAGAAGTGCATTTTCATTCGAGAATCAGTCGCGTGCAAGACTTCATCAGTTATCAAATGGCTTAGGAGAGTTCAATAATTTAAAGTGTTTTTCATTGAATAAACAAAAAAAAAACAGCGATAAAAATATACAGAGGTATCCGATTATTAGTAATCTATCTATCTATTACATTTAGCTTCCAATTTCACTGATGTCGAGGGTTTGCTTTTATTTTGCAAGGTCCTTATGTGGATAAAAAAATGTTCGAAATTCGATGTCGAATATAAACTTCAATGTTATTTTTCGTTGTGCTTATCCTTCAAGTACTTGCTATGTTTGTAGATGCATATATTTGAATTTTATTTCATGTTGATGCACTTTTTAGTAGTCACTCCTTAAATCTTTTAAACGTGTTTTTCTTTGTCAATTTGTACATAACAGCCTTGACAACTAGCAACTGTTAGTAAAATAAATAAAGCAATGACGGAATTAATGAACACTTGGATTGATGTTTTTAATGAAACACATAACTGATGGTTGAGAGAGCATTTGAAATTTCATCATAATCGTTGTTTACTATCATTCATATAATGATTTCAACATGTTTGTTAGAATTTGTTCTAGAATTCAGACTGATATTGTATTGGTAATATCGATGATATTATGGGGAGATAAACTACATCTCATATTAAGGACTGATTAGTATTTTTCTAGTCATTTTAAAAAAAAATATGTTGTGGAAAATTACTATTTGCTATAGGAAGCATCGTTTAAATATTTTCAATTTTGCTTCGATACTTCTAATATGTTAATAATTTTGTTCCAAAATTAGCAGCACAACTGAGAAAATTTTTCATCTATTCAAATTAGTTACTATGATCATCCATTGTTAATATGTCGATATATGGTTTGAATGACTAGAGTTTAATTTCCTGTTCTTTGAATAGAAACTCTGTTCCTTGGCACGTAATCAACTTCTTCTATTATCTTGTTGTTCACTCTTTCGAGAAGAAGAATAAAATATTATGATTCTTATTTGATCATTATAATTGTAAGAGAGTTTTTTTCTTACTACAATAATTACTTTAACTAAAAGACAAGTATGTTTTATTTCGATTAGAATAGAGGTTAGAAATATGCTATCAGAGCTACTCAAGCATATAGAATAGAAAATTAACTATGGATTTGTTCTTTTTATCATTTTGGAAAGAATGATACGACATTCAATGAGTTTACTTATGACTTTGTCAAAAAAAGAGAAACCAATAGTTTCATAAAATGATTTTCTTATTCTTGACAAAATATATTTTCACAAATCAATGGCATGTTGTTTGATGTTTAAAAAAATTGTTGGATGATGAGTGTCATTATGGTCTTGTCATCTTCCCCTCTCTAGTCATTCGGTATTCTTCAGAAATACGATTGTTTGGTATTTTCTTGGAATCAAATAGATCTGGTTTTGAATATGGAGTGGATGAAGAGAAGATACACACTTAAAACGCAATACTTTAAAAATATTTGAGATATTTATCAATAAATCAAAAATATCAGTTCGTCACAAGAACGTCTTTCTTTTGAAACATAGCTCTAAAAAAGCGTTTCTTTAAAATGTGAATATCTTCACAGAGATACCTTCGCTATGGCTCAAACTTTGAAGAGATTCTAGTGCCTATAAATTCTACTGATCCATAAAATAGTTGCTCGAAAATCGACCATACAGTTTCTCAATGATTTTATATTCATGGAACAAAAAACGAGTAAAAAACTCATAACTTGACAAGCGAAGATCGGAAAAGTCAAACAAAAACAGGTTTTTTCCACTACTTGTCATGATTGAGCGAAAGGCAATATTCTCATGGGAAAAGTGATTTGACATTTGAGGAACATTCTTTCATAAGATGAAAATCATTTTTGATTCTATAACAGAAATATATTGAAGTCGAGCGTTTTTCACTACATATTATTTTTCTGAATCATGAAAAACAAGAGTTTTTCATTCCATCGATCATGTTTTAACTTTTTATTCATTTTAAGTAATGAATTCAGCATATAATTTGCTCATTGATTAAATATGATTGTACGAAAGTTTTCAAATAAATGATCAAGATAATTACATGTCGACTTCTATTAGTCTTTTATTTGTTGTTTTTTTTTTATAATTCAGTTTGATCTGTGTGTTTTTCTCACTTGATGTTCATTTCTTTATCTTTCATATATTGCAAATCGGTTCAATTATAACAAGTGTAACTGTAAATAACAAATATATGATAGTTAAACAAGATTTCTTTTTTGTGTTAGAAGAACAATATATGTATCTTTTGAAAAAAATTATTTCTCTTCTTCTTGATTAAGAAAAGAATCTCATTGATCGATTTGGAATATTTGATGATCATATTTTGATATTTATATTTCTACTATTAATTCTTTGGTGACCGGCGACGCATAAATGCACTATGAGCTTTTTCATCACATGAAACAAATGTAATTACTTACAATGTATATTTTTTGGACACAGTTGTGTAACAGCAAACGTCAAACAGTAGGAGCTTTTCACATTATCATTTTGTCGCCGCTCATGTCAAACTCATGCATTAAGAAACGAAAAAGTGCGTGACGTAAAGTTACTCTATTTTACATGTGTATTCTTTTATCGACGACGAAAAGGTTAAACAAGCAAATGTCAAACAATAATATACCATTTTAGACATCGATTTGAATATTCAATGTTTATTGAGATATGTTAATCTAAGGACCATATCTTGTCTAAATATGAATAGACTTTATTGAAGCCAAAAATATACAGTATATTCCTTACAACCAATTAAATACTGTATTTTTTGTTACGGCAATAATATAAGAATCTCTGTCATAACCATGATACACTGTAAAATAAAAATTAGAGCACAAAATTCAAAAAATAAATTTTTGAAACTTGGAATAAACTACAAATTGTTCTTTATTTTTTTTGCGTAGAGATATTTACATTGTTGAATCATAGTAGTGATGCTTGTTGTCTTTTTCCTGGTATTAAAGTGAACGATCATATGTGAAATAATTCGATAATAATCACTCTGCTAAATCAAAAGAATTCTGTTTAATTGAAAATACCTTCACTATCGTTATCATTGTTATTTTAATTATGGGTCACGATTTCATCATTTTATTTAATAAAATAAAACAAAATTCATATTTTAAAGCTCGTTTACTTTAAGATTTGTTATTTGACAATATGATAAAAATTTATGCATAGAATAAATTAAAAAAAAATTGCAAAACATAAAAATTTGATTATTGTATTTAAGATATTTTGATATTGACATTAAAATTTTGTTGAAAACTCTTCAATATCAGTATTTTCGTCATTTATTGTACACAATTCAAAATCATTTTCAATTGTTTGAATCTGAGATATTGGTGGAGTTTCTTCATTGTTTTTCTTCTGTTTCTTTTCTTTTTCAAGTTGAAGTAGATGACGACAAAATCCATCATTTGGCCAAATACGACGTCGAGCAGCAACAAGTTGAAATGCATCAAATAATGACATATGTTCATATGTATGAAGTAGATATGCTACAATTAATGTTGCTGATCGGCTAATACCCTAAAAAATTTCAATAGATTAAAATTTTATAACAGTATTTTAAATTTACTTGTTGACAATGAACATAAACACGATCTAAAAACATGAAACAAATTTTAAACCTTAGATTATTACTTTACTAATGATTACATACTTTTATTATTATTTAATGCTTCTTCTAAAAATTGTATTGCATCTTCAAAATGCATTCCAATTTTATATCCAGGACTATCAATAATAGAAAAACCTTTATATTTAATTCCCGTTTCTTCGTAATAAGTTGCACTTGTATTAATCTGTCCAAATTTACGTCCTTCAGCAGCATTCAAAATATGCGTAAAACCTAATTTCTTCAATTTTATTGGATCCATTGCTAATCGACTGAATGCATAAAATTAACAAAAAAAAGAAAATTCTATACAATTTCATCTAATGTAAAATACTTACTAGTCACCAAGAAATAATCGTGGTATGATTTCATGATATCCACCATGTGCACAATCAATATCTTCAAGTTTTTCTTGATTTGTATTTGTTGAAAAAAATCGTCGAAATAATTCAACAATCGTTGAACTTTTTGCAGGTTCGATTTTTGTTTGAATTAATATTTGACGAATTTTATTTAAATGAGTTTTT